ATGAGGGATGTTAAGTTCTGTGCATGACTTTGGTTCTCAAGGTTCAAGATTACAAATTCAACTGTTACACTGGCAGGCTAATGGTAGTGAAGGTTTTTAGTCTTAAACAGGAAATACTATGAGACACACTAACTAGCAAAACAAGTCTCTGAAACTTTGGTGGATTGAGAGATTCTACCTAAGGGTTTGTCTCAAAGACCTTAAAGTCAATTCTATGGATTTCTTCCCAATTAACAGTGAACATGAATAAAAGGACACAAGTCTTTCTATTCTTAACCTTCTTAATCTCAGTGCTGCTTTTGACACTGTTGACCATGACATCTTACTTTTTCATCTTGAGATTGTGTTTAGAGTTTCTGACACTGTCAGATACATCTGTCTCTCTTAATGGGTATAGGTCTGAAATTGGTCTTGTTAAATCTGGTGTTCCCCAGGGCTCAATATTATGCCCCTTGCTTTTCAGCATTTACTTATTTCCACTTGGCCAGCTTTTAAGATCACATGGCCTCAGCTATTTCCATGCTGATGATACTCAAATATACATCCATACCAAACCTGACACTGATATGGCTGTCTCTGTTCTATCTAATTACATCTTTGACATAAAAACTTGGATGACTCAAAATTTCTTTCATCTCAACTGTGACAAGACTGAAGTCATGCTTATTGGCACCCCCATCAACTTTATAAAGCCAATACTGTAACCCATTCTGTACTTGAGCTTCGGTCTAAATTAAAAAACCTTGGGGATGATATTTGATTCTCCCTTAACATTCGACTTACTTGTGCAGCATATTGTCAAAACCTCTTTTTTTCACCTCAGAAATATTGCTAGACTATGCCCCATGTTATCACCAACTGTAGCTGAAAAGCTGGTGAACACATTTGTGTTCTCCAGAATTGAATACTGAAATGCTCTACTCGCTGGGGTATCTAAAATATACATTGAACAAACTGCAGTATGTCCAAAATTCAACAACCAGAATCCTGACCTGATCTAGTGCAAGTGATCACATTATTCCTATCCTAGAGTCCTTGCACTGACTTCCTGTCAAATTCCGTGTGGACTTTAAAATCCTCATACTCACCTCTATAAGGCTCTGCATGGCTTGGCACCTCAGTACCTGTCTAATCTATTATCCCCCCTACTCCCCACCTCGCAACCTTCGCTCTTCTAATTCTGGTCTCCTAGCTGTCCCCCGAAGCCTGTCTACATTGTATGGGTGACAGGGCCTTCTCTTGTTATGCCCCCAAGCTCTGGAACTCTCTCCCCAGGGATATGAGAGAGTCACCTTCTCTAAACTCCTTCAAATCCAGACTCAAAACTTTCTTCTTTGGAAGAGCCTTTACTTACTGTAACTGGTTCCATTCTTTACTCCTCTGCTCCTCCTATACTTAGTACCACCATCCACGGTCTCCTCTGTGTATTGTAATTGTGTTTTATCTTGTGTATTCTTTTTTATTTTTTTGTTGTTTTCTTCTGTAAAGCACTTTAATAAGCCACCTTTAAAGGCGCTATATAAAATAAAGTTTTTTTATTATTAAATTACAAGTTAAAATGATGTAGACGTGCATTTAAAACTGAAAACAGGAGGGACATCTTTACACAAAGGGTTGTGGGAGTGTGGAACAAGATACACAGCCATTTTGTCGAAGTTTATGCCCTGGTTTCTTTAATTAAATCCATTGGTCAGTTAGTTGTAAACTTAATTTTTTGCTAATTTTTTCTTCTGTTCTAAATGTGTTATTTGATTAAACAATTTGTAGAGGTTTTCTTCTTGAGAAACATAAACTGGGACATGTTTTGGCAACATTCTTAAAATAATTCTCTGTTTATTCAGTATGTAAAGGTTCACTCTGTATTATATTTCTGTTATTAGCGTTATAATATATAATTATTTAACATTTTGATGAAGCCTGGTCATACTGACAATATATTTTATATATGCTTTTTATGCACATGATATTTTTTTAATCCTTCAGTGTTTATAATTCATGAGTGTGGCAGTGCTACATGTTATTAATTGACTATGCCACCGGGAGCCAGATGTATGTACTGTGTGTTTAAGAAATTCCTTAAAGACTAGGTAGTGTATATTTTATTTTAGAACCCAATTAGTTTTTTAGCAGTTTAATTATGATGATAATCTTAGAACAATGTTCCTCCAACATATATACTGACAACATCATCCGTATGAATATCCATCCCTTCATTTTCTAACCACTTCATCCAAAGTATGAATATATCTTTCAGATTTACTTATACTGTATAAACAGTATGTACTGTATATCTATAATATCTGGATGAGAAATTTTGTGTTGCTTAGTGAGTAAAGGTAATCATTTCGAGTGGAGGGTGAGCCCTATTTAAATGCCATTATACTGTATATATTTATTTGAATGATACTTTTCAAAAGTGTAAATGTATATAATATATATATAAACTATTACTACATTTGTGTGTTTTACTGGAGTAATTCAGGTGAAGTATCTTGCTCAAGGGTACAACAGCAGTGTCTCACAAGGTTTTGAACCCACAACCTTCTGGTTACAGGTCCAGAATCCTGACCACTTGCACCACACCACAGTGCGGAAACTCAGTGGCTTTGTAATGGCCAGGTAATGCTGACTTCTAAGCAGCAATCCCTGCCACTGCCAGTCTCCTGTGAGCAGTATTGTGTTCAATAAGAGCTGCATCTTTGTGTTAATTGATGTTACTTCACTTATAGGCAGTGGCTGATTCCCAGTGTGAAAAAACAGTGGATAGCTTTGAAGAGTGCACAGTGCCGTATCGAAGTAAAGAGCAAAGCAGTATTCCTAGAAGCAAACAGATGGAATTTGAGTCTTCTGATAATTAACAAACAGAAAGTCCAACAGCAGCCATAACATTGTAGCATCCTGAAGTTTAGCTTGAGTAAGCAAACGTTCAGTTTTGATCACAATACATTATTTGATGGCTGTCAGAAGCCAATTGCTGTCAGGAAGCTTTAATAATGAAAGGGTAAGAGGAGAAAATATTGTAGATGGTTGTTGTGTTTGAATTACTTAATAAGTATGGTGCATTTTATTTTTAAAATGCAGATATTAGGACAAGATATATAAAGTAACCTTACTTTGTATGCCATAATACTCTACAGTATGTAACAGCCTGCAGTGTAAACCTTGACATTTAATTATGAGGTACAAAAGACACTTACAGAATATAGTCTTCATAGGTTAGCTTTTCAAATATCACCATTTTCTCATGAATAATTTAAAGTAGTTTAAAGTTCAGTTCAGAAAACATAGTGTTTAGGAGTAGTTAGGGATGGGGATTTACGTATTTTGTAATGGAATTCTGCTTGTAAGATTATATACTGTAGGGAGTTTGAAGAGGTTTTCCATTAATCTTTTTGCTTCTTTTAATATTAAATTGCTTCTTATATATTGATCCTGTGACCAGAACAAAGATCTCAGGAAGAACTAGAAAGAGGGGGCAGGTTAGACACTATTTCTGACACTTTAGACCAGAGCTCAAAGGCTTAGATATGAATCGTATAAAGGTTACAAGAAGCCAAAGCTTTAAGGGAGGGTGGTGATCATCGTCTAGTACTTGCTAGGTTCAAGATAACTAGACAATTAATAAAAGAAATCTAACTGCTATTATAACATACTGTAGGTTGGAACTTTTCTACCTTGTATTGTATTTTTACCTTTCTGAAACCAAATCAAAATCCTGGACTTGAGTGCTGCTCCGTAAGCCATTTTAAACTATAAGTTTACTTTTGTTGTGACACGTGTAGAATGTACTGTACCAGTTTTATGGAATATTTGATTTTTGGACTTTTAGTTTAATCCTTAAGTTACATTTTTATATTTACATAAAATATTCTATTTACATTTCAGGGAACTTTCACTCTCATTATAGACATGTGAAATACTGTACCTCATTGTTCTTGTTTCTTATTGAGTTGTCCCAAGAGAAAGATTACCTCACAGCTCTGTAGGGCCCTTCCGACTCTTGAAAGCAGTTCATATTTCTAATAAGAATCCCTCTTCTGCATTTGTCTGCAACAGAACATTAGTCAATGACTTGAAAAAAATACATTTTTCGACACTCCTGCAGAGACTAATATGTGCTCTGTCATTGTATGCAGAGCTTATTTGAAACTGAGCTTTACACTGTCACCGAACCTTAAGCCTTCACAGGCAGCTGATGTGTTAGTTTTGTTAGTCTAGTCTCCCGAAAAAGAGCCTTTGGGACCTTTTAAGACTGAAGGTCTTGAAATTAAGTTCTCAGTGTTTGACATGAAGGTCGGTGTTTTGTTGTATTCTGTCTTTGAATTGGTCTTCATGGTAATGACAGGTTTTGAGTACAGTATATGTAGTTGGAATATGTCACTAAAGGCATTCTTTAAAAAGATTGTGCTCTCTTATAGTTTTATTTCATATTGTATTTAAACATTACCAGTTTTTGAAGATACTGTATTCTTTGGGAATTTGAAAGTGCCATTATTAACACTGCAAAACATGCTTGGCTGACAGAAATGTCAGTTATGAATCAGGATTTGCTAAATTCCCACTTACATGTGTGTGTTTACAGATGTGTATGAGTATTAAAGAAGGTGGGGTGTGAAAGGAAGCACTGATTTCCTTGAATGTCACAGCAAGGCAGCACTTTTCCGGTTATAGAGTACATCTGCAACTTAGAACAGATTGTAAGAAAGAACAATACAAATGACATTTCAGGAGAGAGCGTAGCAGAGAAAGTGTCTGCCTTAGCTGCAAATATTGTTAGTGCAAATGAAAACTACTTTCTGGGCTCTGGCATGTGACTTCCTATTTCTGTTCAGAAACTTCCAAGAGACTTCCTTTGCTGCCGGATCAGAGAGTTCTCTCCACAGCTGAGCTGCAGGCTTACAGCAGAATCTACTGTTCTCTCTCCCCAGTGCCTGCGCTTTCACCTTCACTCACGTTTTCTCTGTTTTACTGAAGCTTTCCTGATACTCTGTGTCTTTCAGCATGCAGGGAGCTTGCCGCCCCAGCCAGAGAAAGGAAACCCAATGCTGTTGTGCAGATTGCTGTTACCAACACGCAAGAGCAAAGCCTGACGACTTACACCAGCACTGAAATAGTTGAGGTGAGTCTTTCTCTGTTTCATTAGTTTCTTTCAGGCCCCTGGATAGTGTTGTTTTATCTTGAACCTGATTCACAGGTAATACTTAAACAACAGGTATGAAGCAAACAGCTGTTCCTTTCCCCCCTTCTAAGCATACCTTAGTGTATTAATCAGTGCCTTGCAACTGCACTCTTGTCATGATTAAACTTGTCTTGTACAAATGATTCATTTTATGACAGTGCATACATGCTGTACAATCTCTTATGAACACACAAAGGGAGCTCTTTTCCCTCATACTGTATTTGCAAGTATGTTTTTATTGAAAATGGGGTTAACTGTGCTATGAGCTTAAGCCCTGTGAAGTGGGATTCCACTGCTTATGAATGTTAAGGGTTTCTTTGTCTGTGATCCTAACTGAAATGGCCAGATTTGTTCTGTGTGGTCTCTTTTCTCTATTGGGTTGTTTTTGAGTTTTCCTTTGGAAACTGAAGCGCAGGAGGAAAATGTATTCTTGTTTGCCCATTAACAAAAAGCTGGTATGTATGATTCTATTCTTATGTAATTGACAGACTTCCTTCTTAATTCTGCGGAATGCTGTTTTACGGTCAATTGTATACAGAGAATATATATCTACTAGACATACAAATCTCCTGTTTAGACAGTCCACATTCTTTGCACCACAGCAGATCAGTATTAGGGGATTAAAACCGTCTGTATTTAGTGGAAGTGGTATTTAGTGCTAACAGTCTGTATTTTAAAAACACTGCAGAATTACATTATTTACATTATCGTTGGCTTTAAGTGAATTTCATTGGGAACCAACAATTCCTTAAGTTGTAATATTTTTTTCAAATAAGAAAACCTGTTGCTTGTATATCAGCATCAAATATAAATCGTGAAGAAAATGACATTATGATTTGTTCCTTTTACATAATAAACCCCTCTACACTACTAATTCAGCAGCTGGATTTGAACTGTTGATTGTCTTAGCATTTTTGAATACTAGAATTAATATTTATTACAAAGACTGTAGGTTCAGTGCTGGCAGGTGAACTTGTCTGGATAATCGACTCGTTTCTGTAGGAGGACTTTGAATAATTTCATTTGAATAACCTTGTACTTTCCCTTTAAACCTTTGGTTGGTTTAAAGGTGGTAGTGACCGAAGAGGTTCAACGGGAGAAATAAGCGGAGGCCTGTAATAGGGAGGGTATGATGCAGGAAAAGGAAAAAAAATATTAATATTGGAAGGGGTCCAATGTCTGTGGGAAAATGTGAGTTGCCCTGCTCAACAAATGTGCTTCACAATTCAACAGCAAACAGGGAAGGAGAGAAGTTTCGTCTTTGTTTGGAGGGTTTAAATCCATTTAACATACCAACCTCCTCCTTTAGTGGATCTTGTAGCAGAAAAGAGACTGTAGCCCCTCAGCATTCACAGCTGTTTCCACTGGATTAAGGAGTGAGAAGACAGGACTGTGCTGGGGTGCTGCTTTGCACTACTGACTTACTTCTTACTGTTATGGGTTTTAGTTTTGGTTGCCTAACATGCTGGTAAGTGGAAAATATTACTCTAAAGAGTATTTAAGCTTATTTTACATTACTGCTACATTTGAAAGAGGTAAAAAGGTGTTTATCTCTAAGGAATAAAACAGCAAGCTCTTCAGCTGTGGCAGTGTTACTGCTTGTTAAAGCCACAACTCACCCTCAAGGCCAACTTGCACCTTTGGCAAGACACTAAAATTAAAATGTGCCTGCAGGGAAGCATAACAATAATAATGCAACATTGTTGTATGATTCCACTAATGACTTTTTTTTCACAGCATAGGGATGAAATGAGATAATTGCTTTTTGCTCTCAGAGTACATTTTTATGAATGTGAAAATAGGTTTCCGCACTGTTGTCAGTTGTTGTTATGATTTGAAAAACTGTAATTATTGCTGGACAGGATTGTTAATGGAGAATTGCCTATACTTCATTAACCACGCAAATAAATATGCATTTGTGTACATGTATGATATTTAATTATTAATAATTTTCTATTCCGTTTGTGTGTAATTATGTTACAGAAATCTGTATCAGTAGACATGAAATTAGGACATTGCTCAGTCTGAAAATGAAGTGTTTGTTGATGCTGGTCATTTGTCATAATGATGTTTATAGAACCTGCTCGGTTGTTTTAAAACCTTTTTTCCCTGTGATTAAATCAACACTCATTATTGTGCTTATACTCTTAAATCTCTTTCCCCCCAAGCCCCCTAGAGTAAAAGATGCAGACTTCACAGGAAAAGGAAGCTCCACTATAAACAAACTGGCTTTGAACATTTGCAGTATATCACAACAGGTTATTAAGTGTGCTGACAAATAAGTACAAGGCCACATGAGGGCATTTTCTACAGCCGTATAGACTCCTCGATTACCCTGGTGTGCTGAGGAAATTGTACGTTATTTATTTATGTTTTTAAGCTGATTTAATTCACACGCCCCTATAGTCATTCTACTCTCCTGGTGTGGCACTTTTACTATCAGAGACTCTTTTCACTAGACCACGAATCAGAGAAAGGGTTTCTTATCTCCAGCTGGTGTTTTAAGGACATGCCACTGTGCTAAGGCTATCTGCAGCTGTTACCTTACTCAGACAGGCCTGTTTTACTTTTGGCACACAGGGAACAAGAGACCCACTGTTTCTGACTGGTGTGACATTCCCTCCAGAATACCCCATTTGTGAGGAAACTCGGGTCAAACTAACAGTCTATGATGTGAAGGATAAATCCCAAGAAACGGTGAGTAAATGTAGCCTTTTCCACATTTTATTATTATTTTTTTATTTTCAAGGTATGAATAATAAAGTTCCTGTAGCGAAGAATGTAGAAAATATTGACAAAACCTCTTAGTACTAATTAGTTGTTAATACAGTATTGTATATTGTTAAGTCAGGGGTAGAGGAGTATGAGAGAGGTGCCATTAACAGTCAGGCTTCGGATTGGAGTATCATTGGTACAAAGGTTGCTTGTGAGGTGTTGACATCAATAGAATGGTGTGGCAGAAGGTTGTGTTTACAGTTGTTTAAGGTAAAGAAGTGTATATGGCAAAGTAGAGATCAGAGAAAGATCTTCTGTGAATTCTGAGCAATTTCCAGGTAGAAGCAGAGCAGAACAGAACCAGGCTCTGATGAGTTTTACAGTATGTGGTTAGATTGACAGCATTAATGAATGCAGCGCACTCATTCAAATAATTATATTCTCAGAACCTACATGGCTATACTGTATAAGAAAACATTGGTGAAGCAGTATTGTAGCTTAGTTGGTATTCTTTTCTTATGTGCAGTAAGCAGTTGGTATTCTGATAAAACCTGGAAAAAAAGTTACTAAAATATTTTTGTTTACAGTTACAAACAAAACAAAGCAAACTTTGCAGATCCTGACTACTGGAATTGCACTCATAGTCTGTTCGAGACTAAGTGATTCAATACTTCAGCATGTCAGAGAAAGACATGTCTTTGAGCCTGAGATGCATTAGATTATTCTTTAGAGTGGTTTCAGAGCAGCAATAATTTTTCTACTGTATCTTGGGGACCAATATTATACACAGTTTTATAAATGAGGTCTTCATAATAAGTTAAGCAATTTTGACATAGTATCACTTTATTTAATCAGTGCCTTTTGCAGCGTATATATTCTAACAATCTGTTTGCCTTTTTAATTGCTTCTCACAACATACATCTTGTGTCCTTTCACAATTTTACACTTCTTAAAGATAAACTCTTAGATTTAATGGTTGTGCATAAAATATATCATGTATACCATGTACTATGATGACAGAAAATGTTTTTCGAGCCATTATGCATTTTTCTTAGCTTTAACAAGGCTCTACTGCCATGGTGGTTTCATTAATGTGAAAACAGAAAGTAACTATAAATTCAGTTACTATCTTTATTACCACCGGTACTGTTACTTGTACATACTATATATCCAGCAGCTGTGCAGTAAATCCCCTTCTTATATTTGTTTATCAGTAATGTTCTTTGATTCTGTGGCTTAGCAGTGCACCATGAGGAGGGAGATTTATAAATGGTGTTGTTCCATATGTGTAATGGTGAATTAATAGGACTAGCTGTAAATACTGCCTGCATTAATTCATAACTCCCTGCCTCCCAGACTAACTTCTTAGTCATGCTGCATAAATACATTGTTAAGAAGAATATCTTAAATAACTTCCTTGCTTTTAAATTGATTTTTGGACTGTTCTTGTTCTTTAAAAGATAGAAAACATATTTGTGGTATAGATATACAGTAAGTTCCATTCACATTTTTATACTGTGAATAGTATTGCCAGCCTTTAGGATATTTTTCAACTGTGCACTTTCAAACACATTTCAGATTAAATGAATTAAAGGCTCTTGTATAACTTTTGTTGTCTAGCACACGATGATTGCATTAGCTACCCTGAGACGCAGAATCACTTGCTGTTTCTGTACATCCTTCTGTGTCAACCACATCCTCCACTGACAGTATGTTCTGTAATCCGACCACTGGAATTCACTAGTGGAAAGATTTTGTCAAACAAAAAGAAAACAAATGCAGGATTATTTAGCCACTCTCCTGGAAATTCCCATCTCTTGTCTCATTTGACATGCCTGATAATACAAACAAATTAATAAAAAGTGTATAAATGTTTTTGTGAAATGCATTTTTATATAATTGCAGAGGGATCCATTCCCAATTTGAAAATCTTTGTCCAAGAAAATACTATAGTCAGAAGAATCCTATAAGAACATCTGCTTAAATTAGTTTATTGCCTTTTAAGTGTAAAAAAGATTTGAAAACCAAACACTACAGTTGTGTGTTCAAGTACCACTTTGCTTATTCTCATATATAAATCCATTAAGCCTATTTTATGTAGTCCATCTTTTCTGTTTTTGCTTTTTGAATAGACAGTAATTTTTGTTGACTCAAGTCTATTTTTGGATGAGTTCTGGACTATGGAGTCTGGACTATGTCTCCTCATAATCACTGGAATCCTCTTGATTGATGAATCATGGTTTTCTTTAGATCCGCAAGTAATGTATGTCATGGATTTGCAGAGCAATATGCTAAATTGTGGGAACCATTGTACCAATCAATGTTGATGTGCAAAGAGCAGTAGTGTCTAGTTGCTGCAGAACTCCAGTTGAAGTGATTAATGGCAGCCTGACTGTATTGTACATTGATTGTACATTGTACATTTTATCAAGTCTTGGCATCTCCTTTGCTGTCCTTACTCATGTGACACCATTTCAGCACGATATTGCTCTTCCAAATTCTGCTTGTGGAACAGTGGTTTTTACTGAAAGATGAGAACGTGATTGTTATGCTGTGGGTGCCTCTACTTATCAGACTTGAGCACCACTGTCATTTGTGGAATGAACTAGGGCAACATGTGGTGTCTAGTCCTCAATGGCGGTGAACAGATGCATGCTTGCCCAGGCACTATAAGATAATTCTGCAACCTAGTGCAAAGCATTTCTCACAAGTGTACAGCTTGCCTTATTTCCGGTTAGGGCCACAAACACACTATTAGCCTGTAACTTTCAGTAGACCCTGTGAAATTAAAAGTGATATGTTTCTTTTGCTGGTCAACTTTTGTCATTGCTATATCTGGAAAGAAAAATCTGTATCTCCCAAAAGTGATCAGTACAGATAATACACAAGCTTTTATTACTTGTACAGTATGTCAATGAATTTAGCCTCCATCTAAAACTGTTGGACAGTTGCCTATCATATATGAAGGAGAAAAACAGAAATGAACGATATTGAATATTTGTGATCTAACATTTTAGCATAATCCAGTCTGGGAAAAAAACACAGCTAAAAGGCATGTACTCTGTACAAAGGAATGCATAAAAACATGACTTTTGCAGTATCTATTGACTCAACCTTTAATATCCCGTCACAATAAGTGATATACTGTTATTGTGTTTTGCTTCTATTTCAGTGCAGTTTTGAGCTATGTATATGGATGTAGGCACTTTCCTTAAGAAAAAAAATCGAAGTAAACTGAATTAATTTTGTGGGCAGATGCTGAAATGTTCTTTTGAATTTTCTAAGATCTCTCAAAATATCTGAGTATGTTTCAGTGTCGAGTGTCATGGGTAAAGACTGCTTTATCGGTCTCCTGCTTCACTTAAGCAGAACACCAGTCTGTAGCTCAGAAAGCTTTTGGAAGAAATAATGATAACAGTTAAAAGTGTAGGAAACTCTTACAACGAGTGTTAAAATATTAAATATTGGTAACTTCCAGAACATACATATTACTGTTAATTGTGTGGTTTCTCCCACCATGAGCTATATTTGAAACATAAAAGTTTTTAATATTCACATACTACAGTATATCCATGTTGATGAAATCTGAGGTATCAAGCTTCTCCTTGCACAGCTTCTCCAAACCAAAAGAGATGGCAAGAACAGTATTTTGATTTACAGTAGCAGGCAAAAAAATTGAATTTGTATTCTATTTATATGGGATTCTAAAATTGACACCTTATGTGGCCAATTTATGTTATACATTGAAAAAAGCAAGGTTTATAATAGACATGCATTGAGCCATTAAGAATATGATATTACACATTTTTTATTCCATTATACTACCAGGTACGTTGATAGAAAACAAAATCTAATTTCCAATGGCAGCCTGGAGATCCATTTCTAATTCAGAGCAGTTACAGGAGCAATTTAAGTGAAGTACCTCACAAAAGGGTACGACAACAACATCCAAGGGATTTCAATCCATAACCCTAAAATCCAGAGATGAGATCCCTAACCACTCCTCCACACCTCTGCCTAATCATTTTAGTGAGACAAATTAGGCCATTGTTAGACAGTCTACTGATGTGTACTGTAGTTGCCATAGTAATCTTGCTCAGTACAAGATGAACAAAAGGTTCAGACATCTGGTGTACTGTATGTGGCCTTCCCTTTGGCAGCAATGCTGACCACACAACACTTTTCTAACACATAGGACGTTCTAGAAAGATCTCTTCCAGGTCCTCTTGGAGGATCAAGCTTGACTTCTTAGAGTCTTAAGCCCTTGTTCCTGCATGCCCTGTTACTTTCTGATGGTGGACCAACTCACTGTTTACTGTATGTCATGTGAAAACTTGTACAGTAACTCTTAACTCTTTGAAATCAGGAGTGCCACTGACACTGTGATTCCTGCCTTAACTTTGTCACAAGGGAATCAAATTCAGTGGTATCATTACTTTGTTCTGTTGGGTTTCAGAATGTGATTTCATGTCTCCTCCTTTCTGCATGCAACATGGACCAAATCTAAGCAGGCAGAAACACACAAGAATGCAAAGAAGCGGTAATAAGATTTCTGCTGATGCCTCTAAATGAAACACTGTTTCCAAAAATGAGAACTAAAATGAGACTAGCTTCTTTATTTCCAGTGCAGTTAGAATAAGTTTTAGGAAACCATTATGGAAAAAGAAATGTGGAATCTGGGAGCATCAAGAAAAACCTTAGTATCAACTCTAAACTGTGCTGTGAGCCAATGCAAAGGTTGAATCACAGGTGTAACATTCGCAAATGGCTGCTGTGGAAAAGTGTCCTTATTACTGCAATATAGACAAGTTGAAACCTGAACTTCAAAAAGATAAGCAAATGGAGTATTAACAAAAAGTCTTGCCTGACGGTTATAAGCATGCATGAACATCTCACATAAAGGTTTTAATTCAGATTTGGCAATATTTCTCCAATGAGCATTTGAGTTTTTACAATACTGTTTGTGACCTCCCCCTTCAATA